TGATGTAACGCTCATATCACATATCCATCCATTGACCCATTCATCGATGCAACCAATTCAACATCATTTACACTTGTGCACGTAGAAGTGGAGACCAGCAACCTACTAAACTAGTGACGATTCACAATGACCCTCTTGTTGCTGGGTTGGTGTCATCCGGAACACAAGCGCAGGAAGCTAGATCAGAGATGCTGCTTGTGATGTTTTTCTCCTCATTGTTTTGGTTGATTCCTGTGGTAGACTTCAAGCTACAAGTTTTCTTGTCCCCTTTGGGTGAGAAGCTCAAGCAGATAACATCGGTTGGCAGTTAGATTCTCCCACATTGAGATTTCTCTACAAACTGAGTCCCTTACTAGTAGCTTCTTGCTACTAGTAGTAAGGCCAGGAGCTACGTTCGTAGCGTCCGATCGCTCCGTTCGTAGCGATGCCAGGAGCCCCGTTCGTAGCGTCCACTGTTACCAGTAGCCTTTTTCCGCTGTTTCACACCCACAGAGCGAAGCACTCCGCGAAGCACTCACCGTCTCGTGGACACGTGGCGTTGCCAGGGAATGAGTACCTTGCGGGAGGTGGGATTTGGATCTGGCTTCTGAATCGTCTCTGGAATTTCTGATTCCACCTTGAGAACAGTTAATTCTGGGGGATTCCTGAAAAGAATACGTACATGTTTTTTAGCATATGAACATTCATAGAACACATTCTTGCTCAGAGTCTTCAAGAGAATGCTTCAAACAATCCACTCTTGACACGCATGAAGACCATTTGAGAGCATCGTCGAACGTAGCTTCCAGTGACGTCTGGTGAAGAAAGGAGTCGATCCGGCAAAAGACCTCGGCGGAATTTCTTCTTCGACATGTTGCTCCTGGCATTACTACTGGTAACAAGAAGCTACTAAGTAACAAAGGGCATCGCTACGAACGGAGCGATCGGATGCTACGAACGGAGCTCCTGGCCTTACTACTAGGGGCAAGAAGCTCAACCTTTGATCCGCACTCCACTGGAGCTCCACTGGAGCTCCCTGATCTTTTGAGGGTTTTCCTGCCACCCACGGTGCGAACCGCCCAGGGCGCCGTGAAGGACCTCGGAAACGCCCCGTTTGGATCTGAGAGTTTCAGAGGATGAGACTGGTTCCAGCGGAGATGCCCAAGATCACTTGGGCATCCCAAGTTCCAAATTCATTTGAACAATCTTTTCATTTTCATTTGGCTTGTTCATGATTTTTCTTGCTCCTAAGTCCCAAGTGTTTCATTTAGTTTCTTTTGCTTTCGGTCGTAGGTCTTGGACTCCGCTGGGTGACACCTGTTTGGTCGCACAGCGAAGGTGGTCTCAATCCGCAGAGGCGGAGGCAGAGGAGCAGCAGGCGAAGTGGGCGCGAAGCGGGCGCGAAGCGGGCGCGAAGCGGGCGCGAAGCGGGCGCGAAGCGGGCGAAGGGCTTCGGTGCCAGGATTCGTTTTCGATAGACAGCGAAGTCCAAGAAGCTCGGTGACAGGACCTTATGATGCCAAGAACGCTTTCTGAAAGGGTATTAAGTCATTCTAAGTAGTGACTATAAAGTCAGTTAATAGCAAACACTTCTTGTAACGGGGCCATTTTCCCACTTCTCCCACTGGCTAACTCGTTGTGTGCCTTGTGGATAACCGGAGTTACAACCACATATGATGACCCACAGGAGGGAATGATGGGAATGGACATACACTGTACCCTCTTGTTCGATGATTCACCAGGATACATTAATCACACTGTTGCCTCAAGATGGAGTACCACCCAAGGCTGCCTGGTAAGAGAAGAGGTATGGCATGCCATGGCCCTAGAACCCTAGGATACACCGTGTACAGACCAAAACCCTTCCGGTGAGAGGACACCGCCCATTTCGGGTGGTGTTTCAGCCCCTGCCAGGACTGGCAAACCCGCTGGCGTCGCCAATCCTTGGAGGAGCACGGGAAAAGAACTCGGCGCCATCGGTGGTACGAGATGAACATCGAGATGGGGGGAATGGACTTAACTAGTCCTCATCCGAAAATTTTTTTCTGACAAAAAGCATCTCTTTCCAACGTCTTTTCGATCACAGAATCTCCAGATGCTGGCCCTCCGGCCCCTTGTCGGGCCCCCTCGGGCCCCACCAACCCCAGGGGCCCAGTAGTTTCCTCAGTATGGGGGGTGGCATCAAGAGCCAACTGTCACTGGGTGAAAGGCGGATGGATAGACATCTTTGGGGCTTCGCTCACCAAGCTCGTCATGGTGCCATTGATTTTTGCTTTGAGAGGCACAATCCCCCAAGTTCCCCATCTGTCTAGGACATCTTAGGATTTGTGCCATCGAACCTCTGGAACGACTGTACTTACAAATACTTACTTGCAAAAAGCTACAAAAAGCTACAGTGTTTTTCCCCACTTGAACATGACTCTCTTTTGGGGCTTTTCGGATCGTTGGGAACGGCATGCCGACCGGGCGACCGAGCCCCAAGAGATGACCGCGGCGACCGGTCCGTCGACCGCCCCTTGGACGTGAGGACCCCGAGCGCGGAGAGGAGGCGATGAGGGGTGTGAGGGGGAAGGAGGGAGGAAGGGACGGAGTTGGGGATGGTGAGATGATCTGAGATGATGTGAGATGTGCCGAACTGTGAGATGATGTGAATGATTGAGGCTGAAAAAGATCACAGGCCAATCGAAATGCAGCAATCGAAGTGAGACCAGTGAGACCAGATGCACAGGATTGCACAGCTGTGAAAGCTACAAGTGGCTACTGATTAGCAACTCTTTTGTTGAATTCCAGTGTTAAAGCCGGTGAAGACGGACGTCCTGTGAGCTGAACATGTCACGTGGAGTCACGCCTTCCGAGACACTCGGGTTCACCCTCGGAGTGTCTTCCGGCTCTGCTCCGCTTGAGGCTGAAACGGAAGCCGCTAGTTTGGGGCCCCTGGGCGCTCGGTGTCTTCGGCAAGTCGTTCTTTCTGTATTTGGTGTCTTCGTCGTTTGCAGCTTGCGGAGCTTGCATGTCCAGAAAAAGATATATGATATACTGTATTCTTGCTAGTACTTTCTCTGATGCACTGATCGGCTACCCCAAAATCTCTGGCGAAGTCGCTGCAGAATGCTGTTCCTGAGGCCAGGAAGAGAGGCCTGGTGAACGGTTGATCCTTTTGCGAGTCTGGAAGGTTCCTTCGCTTCTCGATCTTGGTTCCCATTCTTCATCCCCAAGAAGCGGTCTTCATGTCCACCAACAGGTCTTCATGGTGAGACCTTGTCTTTGATTTCACCCTTTTGGGGTGGCCATTTGGAGAAGAACGGGTTCGGACATCGATCGAGAGCGGAGTGAAGGTCGAGCGTCGTTTTCACAACTCAAGCGCCTGGCGCTTCACCACTGGGCGAATCGATGTGACCGTCGATGCATTTGGAACAGAAACCGTTTTGGCACACTTTCGCAAGAACATCATGCTTCCTCACAGGTCTAAGACTCATATCTTAAGTGCTTCTGGAGTCAGGATGCTGTCTTCATGAATTCAACAGGGCGTGCTTCTTTGAAAGCAACACCTTTTTGTGTAAAGTTCCCCTGGTATTGGAGCGCAAAGCTTAGCGGCTTAGCCTTTTGCAAGTTACCCCCTAACAATGCTTTGTTGCTGGAAACAGCTTTGAGAACCACTAACATCCACCAACCGCCATTGAACGTTCATCTCTTGGACCTCCGCTCTTTTTTCGCCAGGCCTTTGGGCGATGGTCTGAAGACACAGCGCTGTGGGGATGTTCTCGTCACAAAGGGCGACACCATGAGAAACACATGGTTTCCTTCTGGGTGGACGTGTACAAGTGTGGGGTGGTTGATGTATAGGATGTGTTGATTCTGCGACTGCAGAAAAGAGCAGGACATGATATCACTGTGTGTGTCTCTGCTTTTTTCTTAGGCCAAGAGCTGGCCTCCGAAGTGAAGTTGGTGAGCATCCCGCAGACGGAGGCGAGTCTTTTCCACGAAAAGTGACGTGGCCCCTCTCATTCTTGCACCCATGAGATTGCACTCTGTGTCACCAGGAGGTGAATCTTGCCAGGTACCTGTACTGCCAGCTCCGGGAGAAGCACGAAGGCTGGCATGAGGGAGAGAGGGAGAAGGTCTCAATTCTGAATAGGCCATGGCCGCGACGAGAAGCCTGGTGCCTTCATAGACCTTCAATTCATCCGTTTCTTGGTTTGGCAACCATTGGTTGGTGACACCAAACAGGAAGGCAGGTAATCCTCCACACGGGTGATGTTTAGATGGGAATGTGGGACCATTGGATGCAGAAGCCGATGACAACGATCAAAGATGCATCCCGCAAATGATTCACACAATCTAGAGACTCGAGACGATCAATTGACCGACTGGCAGGGATAGGCAAGTGAGCAGGGGATAATAGCATTTTCTCGCAAATGAGCCAAACCTCATCCACTTGGGTTGTCTTTTTGGTCCTGGGAAAAGGGAGCGGCTGTGACTGAGAGCTTGAGCCCATCGCTTTGATGCCCATCGTGAGGTCCACCGTGTCCCGCAGCAGTGTGGCCAGTCAAGTGAGCCGCATCGAGAGCAGGTGGCCCAAGAACGGGCAAGAACGGGTGCCAGAGAGTGGTGGTTTTTGAGAGGGCCTGCAGGGGCGGCTTTTTGCAGAGTTTCGCAGGGTTCGAGTTTGTAGGGCTTGCCGAGAGCTGCCAGCGTTACCAGCTTACGTTTATCCTCCACCAAAGCACATGTCTCAACAGAGTGTGTTGATCAGGAGGTTTGCGTCCCAGACTCTGTGAAGTGTCAACTTGCTGCTGGGTATCATTGCTACTAGGACTAGGAGCAAGGACGCTACTAGGGGCTCCTGGCCGTCTACTAGTAGCTTCTTGTTACTACTAGCGATGCACCTGTTACTACTAGCGATGCACCTGCTACTACTAGCGATGCACCTGTTACTAGTAGCGATGCACCTGTTACTAGTAGCGATGCACCTGTTACTAGTAGCTTCAGATTTCAACGGTTTCGGCCGCATTCCGCCCCGCAGCTGACTGAAACCGCTCCCGGCGTTCCACGCTGGCCCCGCGGTCACAGTAGCGCAGCCAGTGGTGGCGCGTGCAGCCACAGGCTGAGGCATCGATCGTTTTTTGCTTCGCTAAAGGCATCATTCTCTTTACGATCTAAAACCCTCTTGCGGCTTCTTGCCTGCATGAGCTCTCCAAACTGAAACGGTACTGAATTATAGGTATACCATGCGGAGGGCCCCGCGGCATCTCAAGATGGGACGGAGGTCCTGGAAGGATCGAGCACTCAGTGCGTCATTGGGTCATTGAAGTTCTCGTGTTTTTTCATGGAAGTTCTGCCTAAAAGTTTTTGTGGAGGTGATGCTCTTTTGAGAGGTTCTGGGGAGATTTCTGATGTTTTCTGGTCGGTTGACACCGCATGGAAGAGCCCAGTTCGACATCACGCAGGCGCAGTGACGATGGCGCCAGCAAAATGTGCCAAAGAGGCCTTTCCTCCGGGCAGCAGGGCTTGCGCAATGCTTGGGCAGATCCCAAGGTTTTGATTGGGAGGGCAACAATTATGGAGTTTGAAGCACCTTGGAGGGCGGGAAATCGTCACCTGTGCCAGTTTCAGATACTTCTCATAGCCTATATAGTCGGCCTCGGTACCAGCATTTTTGCACCTTGCCTCTTTTGTACATTGTGATTGTTGTTGTGCTAAAACTGTAGAATCCAAGGAATTTCAAGGAGTCAGTGTTTCTGTTCCTCCTACACCAACTTTCTTGACTGCCAGGGTGTTGCACGAGTGGATGAGGCAAGCGGGCCATCGTTCTCGAAGAACCCCCAGAGGTTTTTGCTGTCACGCAGTCCGTGCAGGGTGCACCATCAAATTCCAAGTGGCCTGTGTGGAAAAGGACCCAAGTTCAAATTCCAAAGTTTGTTCCTGATGCCAATTCGATTTCGATTTCGAAGATGCCATTCCTGTGGAGAAGGACAGAAGGACAGAAATCCGAGAAAATTCGAAAATTATCGACATTACTACTGTAGCAAGAAGCTACTAGTAACAAGGGCATTACTACTAGTAGCTAGAAGCTAGTAGGTTGGAGGCCATCGCTATTGGGTTGTGGAGGCCATTACTACTACTAGTGGCGATGCCCTTGTATCCTGACGATTTGCGTCACGATCTAGGCGCGCCGCGCCTCCCGGCGGCGCGGAGCGCTCACCGCCGCAGAGCTTTCAGAAGGCGCTGGGCGTTCAAAGAAGCCCAGGGGAGAAGGACCTTACCATTGACAAGCCAAGGGGGATCGGCTCACTTGTCACTGAAATGAGACACTTTGTATCAGAAAGGTCTAAGTCTAAGAGAAAAGATGAAGAAGACTAGCATGTCTAGCACAATTGGTAAGAACCTGGTAAACAGTAGACCAATGGCTTCGGTTTATTCCTACCTACCAAGCACATTCTTTGCGCGTTTTGACGTTTTTGAGGGACTGAGTTGACGGCCTACTGCGCAACCCCCAGGTCCACGCCTCACCTACTAGCGATGGCCTCCAATCTAATAGCGATCCTTTTTCACTCGGAGAAGATGCATTCAAGCTGTTTGGGCAGGTGCGCCTCTGAAGATGAGGATTGAGCACCGCTTAGCAGCCATGCAGGAGATTCAGAGCTTGGACAAAAACACTCATAATCAAGCCAAAACCCCAAACCAAGGTGGTCTGTAAGGGGTGTGCATCTCATGTTTTGTCACCTCATGCGGTTGATCCTTCTCTCCCGGTTCGGGAGAGCCCAGGAGGCTGAGAACGCGGATGCCAACCTGGCTTGGTCTCCCAGTGAAAGAGCGGATCCGAAGAAAGGAAGAGGGGGGTCAGGCACTCCGTGGGTGTCCAAAAGAGATCATCGATCGCTTGGGCCTCGGAATTGGACGTGAAGACGTCCAAACGTTGGATCGTTTGAAATGCCTCCCAAACGGCTTAGCTGTAGGGAGTTCACACATTGCCCTTGTTTGGCTGTCCCCTAGTTGTGAGAGAGCTTTTGTCTGGAACAAGCACCCGGTGGTGCCTTTTTCCATCTGTTTGCAGGCTTGGTCACCACATGACGGCTTGCACTTGTTGGACAAAAAAGGGTTTTGTCCTGCGATGAATTCCTCCTTCTTGCCATTCTTGCCCTCCGTTCCGTTTCACGATTGCTTGGTGGCTGTCACGACCTTCTCCTCTTTGTCTCCTCTGGCCTCTTTGGCCTTCTGCCCCCTCACGCAGCTCTCTCTCTTTCGTCGAGTTCCGGTGATCAGGTGCTGAATCCACGGACGCCGGAATTTGGAGAGGCGCCCGGTCGGGGACATGGAATTGGCTTTGCGGCCGCGAAGGTAGCAAGGACGCTACGAACGTAGCTCCTGGCATTGCTAACAACAAGCTACTAGTAACAAGGTGCATTTCTACTAGTGGCAAGAAGCCAGACTTTCTTCCCACATCACCGAAGAAGAGTGTGATAGCGTGTGCGTGCATTTTTAAACAACTGATTCGCGATGACAACTGGAATCATCGAAAGGCTGGTGAGATACCAGGGTGTCAAATACATGGGCATGCACACCATGCTGTTTCAGGTGTTCCATCCTCAAGTCCCAGGTATACAAATCTAATCTTTCAACAACATACTTAAGGGATCTTAAGGGTCTTTGGACTAGAGCAGTGCTGGGCCAGTTTTTTGCTCACCTTTTTCAGCTTGCATCATCCACCCAGATCCACTGACATCTATCCACATCCACATCCACATCCGCATGTCCATCCCCCACGTCAGAGGCGCCGCGGACCCCGAACTCCCGCTCGCCCACGCCGGTGACGCCGGACGAGAGGCGGGGTCAGGGCGGATGGGCCTCGTGGGTCGGGCGGAAGGGCTTAGAGTAGCGACGGCCTCCAAGCTAGCAGCCACTAGTAGCGTCCTTGCTACTAGTAGTATGGCCAGGAGCCCCTAGTAGCGTCCTTGCTCCTAGTAGCGAGGCCAGGAGCCCCTAGTAGCGATGGGGGTGGGGCATTGGCAACTTCGGATTTGCTTCACCGTTCTGCAACTCCCTGGCTCCCAAATGGCCACTCCGAAGATGACGATCCTACGGAGCCGTCCAGGAGGCGGAAGAGTCGCCGCATTACCTTCAGCGCCACTGGGCCAGAAGCAATTTTCGTCGTTTGAAGATCATCTTCCTGGATCTTCCTGGTTTTTTGATGTTGGTAACAGGTGCATCGCTAGTAGTAACAAGTGGAGGCTTTGACTGTGGGTTTGTTTGAAGATAAGGGGACCGTCGAACTCATGGATTCTCATCGTGTTTCCCACAGCGGCGCAGCGATGCGGTGCAGCGATGAAGGGATCCCCTCAGCCAAGGCCCTGAACGAGGCCCTCAACGACGTCTGCGTCGAGTCGGAGCCGAGTGCCAGCCACGTGGCCAGCAACATCCAAGCTGCACAGGAGAGAGCCCGCAGCACGCAGCACGCAGCACGGCGTTCCGAGTAGCTTCTTGTTACAGGTGAAACGATTCCCAAGGAAGCTTCTAGTGACTAAAAAGCTTCAAAGATACTAGAAAGCTTCTTGCTCCTAGTAGTAAGGCCAGGAGCTACGTTCGCAGCGTCCGATCGCTCCGTTCGTAGCGATGCCCTTTGTTACCTTCCTAGCGTCTTTCGCCAGGAGTTGGTGAAGAAGATGTTTGCGAACCCCGCGCCAGATCCGTTGGGAGGGCTCAGTCAGACAGTGCAAACCACTGCTTCCGGCGCATGTCTTCTTGACACGGAGTGACGGGAGCGGGGCTGATGGTTGCAGTCATACACGAAGCATCGATCAGCATTTCGTTGTTTTCAAAGACATATTTTCAAAGACATATTTGATATTGTATTGTATGTTTTCAAACTGTTTTCCATTTTTTAATGAAGTCGTCTCCCTCACAGTCGTCTCCAATTGAGCTGAGTCTGAAGCACGGAGCGCGGCAGTCGCCTGCTCCGCTCCCGCGACGCCTCGCTGACACAGGTCGAAGCGCCAAAGCAAGAAGCGCTCGCGGGAGAAGCACCGCTCCTCCGTGGACTCGAGGACCAGTGATGCGCGGAGCTCCGTGGGCCCCGAGGTGTGGATTTGGGGTGAAGATGTGCAGATTGCGGTCAGGTAGGTGGAACTATGCGCTGCATTTATGTAGTTGCTTCATAGTACCACAGACTGGCACACATACATCACCCTCCTGCACTCGAGCGCTGTACGTTTCCAATCGTTTTCTTTTTTTTTCCCTCATGCTCAAACGTTTCTGCCCCTCGCATGTGCAGGCCATGACCGAGCGAGCACGGCGTCTCTGTCAGAGCTTGGGCGGCGAGGCAAGGGCTGTCAGAGCCGAATCAGTCGATGTTGGACTGTTGGACAACGGAGTTGAACGGTGTTGAACGCTGAATTGGAACTTTTTTGTGCTGTTTTTGTGGTGCTTCCTTGGAACCTTTACTGACACAACATGTTCCAACCGCATCGACCGCCTCCGTCACGGAACGACCACGGCTCGCCGCAGGAGTTCCAGACCTCTCAGAGTTCAGCACCGCTGCTGGCGACGCCCGGCAGGCCGTGTGGAACCGATTTCAGTCGAATGGAAGAGGGAGTCAAAGGGTCGAATGTCACTGTGTTGAGGTCATGGAGGGATGGTTGAGAAGTTCTGCGCGGAGAGGGAACATGTTGATCGTGATATTTCAGGTCATTTGTGGGTGTGGCCGTGAAAATAAAGGATGAACCCTGAAGATTGGTGGTGCATGTCTCCAGCATTCGCTATGTCATCCACCACACCTATGTCATCACTGGGCAGCCAGTCCATCCACCGCCTCTTCAGCAGCTGCATAGCCAGACCGTGCAGGTTCCGCTATCGAACGAAGGGTCCCTTCCACGATCCTTGGGCGTCCTTACCACCGAGGAGGAGCAGCAGGGGAAGCCAAGCTGATCTTTTAGGGGAAACAGCCTTTATGTTTTCTATTCTTTCTTTTTGGAGGGTGTTTGATGAATTTGATGTCATGAATCATGATGTTCTGATTTAAATCACTATTCTTTTCTTCTTCTGCCTTTTTATCGATTCGAACCGGTGCTCCTAGTTGCAGCAACAACCGCATTGATCTCTCCTGTTTCACATCTGTAGCTTTGGTTTGCGGGCTGAAAGCTCAATACCCATCCTTCTAAACGGGGTAGACAGATGGAAGAACAATGAAGCAGAGCCACACAGAGTGTCAACCTCTGTCGGTCCCTCCCTGACTGCTCTGCCAAGGCCCAAGCCGATCGAAGTTGCCTCCGCCGCCTTCGCAACCACCACCCGTGTGAGGAGGAGTTCAGGGCTCAAAGCCACCCCCTCCACCCCCAAGCATACATTGCAATGGCCTCCAACCTACTAGCGATGGCCTCCTCCAGAGTCTCACTCACTCCAAAGAGATGCACGCGGCGTACGCTCTTCGCCTCGACGTGAGGAGGCGGGCGGAGAGGTGTGACGAATCCGCTGGGCGCCGAAGAATGGCAAGTTCAGCTGAGGAGTCCGGACGACTGGCGGAATGATGCAGAATGATGCAGAGTGATGCGGAAAAAAGTCGAGGTCTTCGTGTCGAGTGAGTGGATTCAAGATACATGCACATAGTCACATAAGTTGAATGAGTTCTAAGCAGACTGCAACAGAGCCCCAGCTACTGTTTCGATTCGGATTCTTTCCTTTCTGAGCACACAGGTTTTGTTGCGGTATGTTAAACTGGTGGCCCTGCGTGGAGCAAAGCCTCAGAACTGATCATCTTTCATTCATGTGACTGCCTTTTCCTTCTTGGCATTTCCCTCAACTAACGCCAACCGAACCCAACCGAAGCCAAAACACCACTCAAATCTAAGGCCTCATAGGCTTCGGGCCAGAGGAAACAAACGCGACACGTCGACTTGCTCGGCTGGGAGCTGAGCTGGTTTAATGCCGTCGAGTAGGTGTCGGTGCTGCGGATTGCCTCACAGGGGACCAAAGCGTGGTGTCGGTGCTGTGGATGGCAAGGGGTAGCTGAAACTGCTGTTAGTAGCACCAATGCAGTATCAACATTTCTTTGTGCTTGGGTGGTACAACAAAGAGCCTTGGGAAGCCTGGCGGCATATTCTGGATGCTCCGATTCTGCCTGGTGGGAGTTTCTAGATATCACTTTCTTGTGATGGCATTGTTGATGATTCATGTTGCGTGGTTTCAGACCACCAACCTGATTTCAGGTTTGTTTCCGTTGCAAGGAGCTTTGCCTTCCTGCATTGTTGTCAAGCGGGGGGATTGTCATATTGGCAGAGACCCCATTTCCCGGCTTTGAATGGAAAGAGGCAGCCAAACACTGAGAGGGTAGAGACAAACTGCAAGGGCTATGCATCTCAAAATGGAGATGCCTCTCAATCCATGACTTGGCTCTCCCTGTGTTCCTAGTAGATATCAATTTTACTACGAAACCAGATGGCTTTATCACTCTGCAGTGTTCACCGGTCTACAAGATATCTACCCACCTCAAGACAGACATACCAACATGGTGTCATACCAACATGGTGAAGCAAATCTGCTTTACGCTTCAAATCTCCTGTGAGTTACGAAGAGTCGGATTTCCCAGCACAGCGGCTGAAACTGTCCACCACCAGGCTTTGAAAGTGATAGCCCAAGGATCCAAAATGACTGCAGGATTGCTGGAGCTTGAAGATCTGTCAAACATCGTTCTCATAGTAGCAATCTCAATATCGTTTTTGGACGAGGAGATGCTTCTTCAGATGTAGCTTGATCGTACGAAGGACCTCGCTACCAAGCAGTAAGGAGGCTGAAACACTGTTGGTGGAGGGGTCGGAGGGGACCGTTGTTTCCAAGAAACCTCTCCTTCCTCCCCAGGTCCATGGTTCATCCTGGAATTCCAAATCCTTTTCTTCCAAAACATTTGTATTTCTTTGCCATGCATGGTCCATGGATGTCCTTTTCCATTGGGTCCATCCCCACGCTGCTAGTAACAAGGACGCTACTAGGAGCAAAGGGCATCGCTACTAGGAACAAAGGGCATTACTAGCTCCATTGAAGAGGAGTTTATAGCGGCCCCCGGTGCCTGCAAAGTGATGTCATTGTGTGATGTCAATTCAAGAAGCTACTAGGAACAAGTGCATCGCTAGTAGTAACACGTGCCTTACTACTAGTAACAAGAAGCTACTAGGGGCTCCTGGCATCGCTACTAGAAAGAAGAAACTACTAGGAACAAGTGCATCGCTACTAGGAACAAGGGCCTTACTAGTAGTAACAAGAAGCTAGTAGAAACAAGAATTATAAATACTATTGTGTCAATTCAACGACTTCCAACGCCTGGGCGGTGGCGACCCTGGTGGGTCGAAAGGACCCCCGTAGTCGAAGCGAGCGCCCGTAGTCGAAGCGAGCGGAGCGAAAGCGCGCGATGGCCGCCCGGTGAGCCACCAAGTTCTTAGATCACATGATGACAGAGGCCTGCAAAGCACATCAACACACACATTACACCATCATAAGTCACATATTATAACATATAATACTCGGACTTCTGTATGTACTCTTCTGATCTCTTTCCCAAAAAGTTTGATGATCATGGAATTTGTCCGTTCGCAACTGCTCCCAATTCACCGAAACCGGCGGCCGAGTCAGCGATGAAGGTGCCCGCGAAGTCGTTCACACACGATCGGCCAATGTACCGCCCCGTCGTGCCATGCTGTGGCCAAAACGAAGAGATGTGCGTGGCGGCGTAGCGCACGAAGGAGTGCTTGAGGGCACTAGGAATCCCGATAGGGTCAAGAAGATCGTTAAGATATTGAATGATAAGGTTTTCTGTGCAACTGAAACTGGTTCCAACAGAAAAAAGAGACCTCCCAAGTCTCGGAACCTTTATTGGAGAGTATAGTGATCACAGTGCAAAGTCAGACCCAGGTCAGGCTGTGACTGCATGGAATCTTTGGAACGAGGAACTTGTACTGTAGATGAAAAGAACATTGGTTGAGATTTGGGACATTAGTTTCTTTGAACGTGGACGAACATTTTAAGTGTCTACCGGCAACAGCTCATGGTGTGTTGTCCAAACACACCCGCACGGGTATCGGGAAGGTGAGTTCAGGATCTAGTTTGAGGGCTCGGTAGCTTTCAGCGCCAAATTCCGAGGCTTGGAAGAGTCGCTGCCATATGCTGAGCAGAAGAAGGAGCCTCGAGATGTTTTCTTGGTGCTCGAGTGGTGAACGTGCCCTCTGTTGAAGAGGTGCCATGGCTAAACATGTGCTCCATCATAAAGATTCAAAAGGTTAGCTATAACTTTCTTGGGAGGTATGATGCCCTTTCCATGCTTTTTCTTGAGGTTCAGTCTTTCTGTTGCCTTTGAGTCGCACAGACTTTGGGGTTTCCAACCACTTTGACCGCTGGACTTGAAGGCCATGATTCGAATTTGCACTTGAATCAGCGCTGATTCCTGAAGGAGTGAATTCCACGCATTGACCAACCAGTCCCTGACTAGTCAGTCCCCCCCAACAACTGGTTCCTCAACTCTCCTTGTGTTGATCTCTTGGACCTTTGGACCTAAACCACCAACATGACGATGGAACACAAGAGACCACATCCTCCGGTCATTCAGAAGAGACCTCTTTCGCCCTGTGCCGTGCCGTGCGCTGACCGTCCGCGTCGCGCTCCGGACCCAGGAGGTGCCACAACTCCCGACGCCGGTGGAAAGCTCCAGCGCACGGAGGCCGGTGGATCCTCGGCGGATGCAGGGAACGTTGCGAGGGGCCAAACCCAAACCTGTAAGCCTCACTGAAACGGGAAGAAATGTTCCGGAATGGATCGAAAAGCCGTGGATGGCCAAGCGCAGTTCATGAATCGAAACGAAGTCAGACCGAGTGAATCCATGCTTTACCCTGAGTTCCAGATATGTGATCGCCGCCCTTGAGATGTTCCTTTGCCTTGCTCATACAAATCTTTCTGCTGCGGGGTAGCGACAGCAGAAGTCAATCGGTCACGCAGGTTTCCATACAGTACTAGGAGCAAGGACGCTACTAGTAGCTCCTGGTTAGAGATCCCTCGTCGCACTTGACAAAGTTACCTCAGCTCTCAGCAAGGCAAGCATTCTGTTCTCATTCCAAGACTCTTGGGCCAGGAGCAGCAACCCACACCCACCATCTATTTTTTTGCCTCTGACGATCTCTGACGCTCCAATCCATCGCCAGGAAAACCATCGTTGGAGTTCCGGGAGAAGTCTTGCCAAGAGACTTGAAGGACCTGGGAAGTTTGTAGCATAGGAGCATGTAACAACAGAGAAGAACAGATGGCGGAAGACGGCGAAAGAGGGCGAAAACCTTGATGCTTCCATCTCAAGCTGGACTTCTTCCTGATCATGGTTCAACTTGTGCGTTGTGTTTGAATGTCACTGTCCTCGGGCTTTTGGCAGCCCAATGGACAACAGCACGATTTCTGCGACGATTTCTGGCAGTGGTCGAATTGTCTCAATTTCTCAATTTGTTTACAGAATTGAGGCCACTCACAGCTGGTTGCAAATTTTGGCCATTCCTCATTTTTGTTTCTCAACCAGCTGTGACAGGGCATTTCTCATTTCGGCTCACGTCGCGACGACTGAACAGGAGAAGCTGATGTCCATGGCGACGACTCCAGAGGTGCCGTTGCGTCGCTGATCCTCCCCGATCTACCCTTGGAATACATAAATCCAAGGTACTTTTTCTGGAAAGACCATTGAACTGGGTTCTTCTTCTATTGTCAAGGATGCTACGAACGGGGCTCCTGGCCTTACTACTAGTAACAAGAAGCTACTAGGAACAAGTGCATCGCTACTAGGAACAAGGGCCTTAATACTAGTAACAAGAAGCTAGTAGAAACAATAATTATATACTATTGTGTAATTTTGTCTCTGGTCCGTGGAACAGCTACTACCTCCAGTGCCTTTTGTGCCCAGCTATAGCTGATTTGATTCGGGGGATGGCGATCCAAGATCTGTGGGACTGAGATTTCATCAAGTCTCACGATGATTCCACCTTGACCACTGAAGCAGGAGCCACATGTATATAGCCGCTTTGAAAGGCTCACTCATGGAAAACTACCTTCCTCGGACACTTTCATGGTACATCAGGCTACCCCCGTCCCGTTAATCCTTTTTTCCCTTCATCACCGAGATACCCGAAAAGGAAAAAGGAACATCATGTTGAATTTCCTGTAAGGTTGGAGGCCATCGCTGGTAGGTTCCTTTTGCTATTCGGTTCCTTTTCCTTTGAAGTGTCGCCGATGTCGGTTCCTTTCCTTGCGGACGAAGTGTCGCCAGGGACCGCGGGTCGAATCGAGACACGCGGAACGTGTGAGTGAGGCCCGAGTCGGAGAGTGCGTCGGGCTGGAGTGGAGCTACGGGCCAGTAGCGTCCTTGCTACGTTCGCGATGGCCTCCACCGAGCATAGCGTCCTTGTTACTTCTTGTTACTAGTAGTAAGGCCAAGAGCTACGTTCCTAGCGTCCTTGCTCCTAGTAGTAGTAAGGTTATTTCATGGGTGTTCAAATCCAAGACGTACATGACTCCTACGACTCAAAAAAGGTGCACTTGACATGCTCGACTTTGTGGATCTTGCATAATCTCGCA